AAAACATAATATTATTAAGCCTAATTTTAAAATTTTAATACCATTGAAGAAGATTCAAATGTCAAACGAAGTTTGGTTGATAATGTTCGTCAACATTTTTGTTCAAAGTTTACATTCATATTCTAACATACGTTGTTTACTTGTCTTATTATGTATACTATGATTTTATATAGATACATCCAAGATTGTACGGTGACACTGTGACGCGATTCACAATATATTGGACTGTGAGTATATTAATTTTTATTTTATTTTTCAAAAACTTTTACGTGACAAATTAACAAAAGTTTCGTAATTACAAACATAAAGGCAAACCAACCACCTTTACTCTTTCTCCTTGCTAATACTTTTTTTTTTTTTATGTACTAAGGCTGATGGTTATAAAAGAACTGGATGTTATAATACAAAATGTCCTGGCTTTGTTCTTCTTTCACGAGTTCCCAGGCTTGGTGTAATGTTTGATAGATCCTCTACAATGTTTTTCACACCTCTAGTTTTTCAGGTAAAGTATTTGCAACCTTATATATAATGAACACCTTCAACTTTTTTTGTCTTGGTGTAATTGGATCGATTTTCACAATTTTTTTTTTTAGTTTTTATGTAGTTTTGTAAGTTTTCCTTATTTAATTATATAAATGCTCATAGTATTTTATAACTGGGTATTTGAATATTTATAGGATCACTATACCGGATATTGGACATTAAAAGCATTTGGCGAAGTAATTGGTTATTGGCCCAAAGAATTATTTACACATTTAAATAAAGGAGTCTCTTTAGTACGATTTGGAGGAAATACATTTCCTTCTCCAGATGGAATTAGTCCACCAATGGGAAATGGAGATTTTCCGATTATGGATTTTCATAAAAGTTCACATCAGAAGCATGTCAAAATTATGAATTCGAAATATCAATTAGTAGATATTGAAGATGGGATGATAAGACGTTATTCAGATTCTGACAAATGTTATAGATTATCATATTGGGGATATACCAAGTCAAATGGAGCATCCTTTTCTTTTGGAGGACCGGGTGGAAATTGTGGTATTTGATGGTTGATGAATTTTATATATGTATTGGCAAAAACTATATCAAATTTGAAAAAGAAATAAAAGTTGACTAATTCAGTTTCATATTGTTTAAGAAAAAGGTCTTAAGTAAACCACCTAAAGAGGTTAGACTGAGAAAGTAAATTTCCTTTTAAAAGTGGTTTTAGAACTTTTGAGCTGAATTGGTAATATATGGTTTATTTACACAGTATGGGGTTTAGCTAAAACCGGTTTGAAAAGCTTAACAGCTACAAACAGAATCACGCATTAACGGATTCTCCGTTTGCCAAACCGGGAAGGACTAAACCGGCTAAGATCAACAAAAGTGGCTACACCATCTACAATGAGCTCAGCTAATGCAGCACCAGTAGCTGGACCATTGAGAATTCCCCAGCAACTATGTCCAGTGGCTACATAACAACCTTTGATTCCTGGAATCTCTCCGATCACAGGGATTCCGTCTTCAGTACTTGGCAAGAAACACGCTTGCTCTGCTTTCACTCGCGCGTTCTCTTCATCTAAATACCTCGAAACCGTTTTCGCTACTCTCTTGAGAACATCAATCGATTCAGGATTGCTTGTTACTTGATCTGGATCATCAGGCACTTCTTCTTGCGATGACATTCCACATATGTACACTTC